AGTGAAAAGTGGTTATAAGATGGCCCATTGAATTATTGATTGTCGTAGCTGTTCATCGGCAGTACACCAAAAACGAAGTAGCTAGTCGTGCAGCTAGGCATTCTGGCTACCAATGACACGCTTTCTTTATGGGCAAGCGAAACAAATCAGTTTTCATCCCGGATCACCAAGATAGCTGAGTGCCACGCAAACATAGGCGTTCGAAACGTCAACGTCTCCATGAAAGGACGTGTCTAGCCAGAGCAGAACCTGCTCCAGCACTTAAAAATTTTGAGACTGTTTAACTAACTGGCCTGGTGCCATCAGAGAATTTCTTACTTCAAATGCAAGCCAGGGAAGACACCTCTGAAGAGTACGGGCAGGCACAACGGTCTCCTTCTTAGTGGTCATCCCAATGGCATACCGACAGAGAAGTTATTTTTCAGGCCCACTTTTCCAATTAATGATGAGTGGTTGGTTATCTGGGAAATACCCTGAAGATAAGATATTTTCTGGTCAGAGGTGTACCTTTCTCTAGTACGATATCCGTACACAGAAGCTCTAGGAATAAGAGTCATAGGAGAAGAGTCATAATAAATAAGAAATAACTGGAAATTTACCACTGGCCTTTTTTAGGGCCATCATAACTATTTACGTTCCCTACTTAACCATCAATCTCATCAGTTCCCTTAAGAGTTACCTACCATGCCAACAAATATATTTTTACTACTATTTTTAGCAACGATTAACCGACTTGAAGTGTACATAAAGATGACCACTATTAAATCAAGTCATACACTGGTAGACGTCATGAGCAGAGTTATTCGTCGCAAGGCTAGGAATCCCAATGACCGATGACCCTATATTACCCTCTCGACTATAACTATTCAACTAGGAATCAACGATCCTTTCTATGGTGTGCACCAGGAGAACCACTATGAAGAAGAAGTAAACTTGAGCCAACGGGACAGTCTCCAACGGGCAAGCGTCACAAACCAATCCCTCCACCTTAGATCACCAAAGTAACTGAGTTTGCAAAAAAACAAGGTGCTTCAGACACTAACGTCTTCGAGACGTCAGGAGACGTTGAAATAGAGCTCTGCAACTAGCTTCAAAGCTTTAAACGTTGTAGTTTTTCTCCCGATCAGTGTGGTGCTATAATAATAGACCACAAAAGATCACCCTGAAGTATAGAGCCAATCGTGTTTGCTGGGAACTTCAGTCAAGAAAGAGTTTACTTTAAAAGCTTACCGGTCCTTTTCAGGGTCATCGGACGTCGAACTACATTACTAACAATTATAGTACAACCTAATAAAGCTCGAAAAAAATAGCCTTTAAGGCTCACAAAAGTGGCACGGAAGACTAGGATGCACAAACAAAGTGCATTTAAAATAATTAAAGGACAGTGCAGCGAATGGAATAAATTTTCTCGAAGCAAGTACAGGAACACCATGCGACGTGTAAGTGAAAGGCAAAATGGCAAAAGCATTATTCAAAGGCAGTGACAAGCAAGCATAAGCACTTGAAAGGAAAATCTTATAAGATTTGAGACGTAACGTTGTATGAGGGTGAGTTTCCGGCAAGAAAAAAAAACAAATGAAAAAAATATAAAGGAAATTGAAACAACAAACTAGGGGGTATCAATAGGTCATGGAATTCACGGTAGGAAGGAAGTTCTTTAAACATGAGATGAGTATAGACACAATTTCTCAGGTCACAAGGAGGTCACCAGACCCGTAGGAAGAATAAAGCTCTGTAAACGTTAGTACTGCATTCATGTTGTTTACTAAAACAAAAACTTGAAAAACGAATAAAAAAAAAAAAAAATAGTTTAGGGGGTATTAATGGGTCCTGGGACCTACGGTAAGAACGAAGTTCTTTAAATATAAGATGAGTATAGACACAATTTCTCAGGTAACAAGGGTTTCACAAGACCCACAGGAAAAATAAAGCTCTGTAAACGTTAGTACTGCATTTATGTTGTTTACTGAAACAAAAACTTAAAAAACGAAAAAAAAAAAAAAAACAATAGTTTAGTACTCACGATGGTTGAATTTCGTGAGTACTGTATTTTTGCACGACGTTTTCACGAAGTTAAACCATCGTGAGTACTAAACTATTGTTTTTTGTATTAGTTTTTCAAGTTTTTGTTTCAGTAAACAACATGAATGTAGTACTAACGTTTACAGAGTTTCGTTCTTCCTGTGGGTCAGGCGACCCCCTTGTTACCTGAGAAATTGTGTCTATACTCATCTCATATTTAAAGATTTTCGTTCTCACCGTGGGTCCCATGACCCATTAATACCTCCTGGTTTGTTGTTTTATTTTTCTTTGNATTCTTCTACTTCAGAAATTATTTTTCTTAGAAACCAATTAATAGCATCGCTTTAAATATCATTACAAATATCTGACCATTTCACGCCGTTTGCATTTTTTTTATTTAATACAACTAATTTAAGGTTAATACATTTTTTATCCAGCTTTAAATAATGATTGCAATATATTGAGAAATGGCCCGTTATTCTATTCGTAAGTTTATATGTATTGTAATTAGGACTAGATTTAATATCAGTATGATATATACAAAACCCCGAATCATCACAGTTTTCTCTGGGACTTGTTATATACCATCTACGGCAGAAAAATAGCCTTTCTTTTAATTTTTAATTTTGGCACTTAGTTTTACTGTAAAAGTATTTACAGCACTTTTTCATCTTAATAAGTTGTACTCATAATAAATTCTATATTTTTTGCAACCTATTCACACAAAACCTAAAAATATTATTGACATATATGCAGTATTCTTTACTTCAATGATAACATTAGCCAATTCATCGACATTTGATCTCAGCATAAGGGTAATTTTTACATCTTCACTTATTAAATCATTGACATGTAATTCACTACACAGTTCTTCATTGCTTATACTATCATTCACATTTACTCCTATGATTTTTTCTTACGGATTTTTGAATTTTTTCAAATCAATTTTGGCATTCGTAATAGTGGATAACTCGTTTTTGAAAAAATCAATACCTTAATTTGTTTCACATTGTAGTACAATTCTTTCCTTGTTGACTTTTTTAAGCATAGTTACTTTTACACTATTGTCATTTATTTTAGCTTTAACCTTATTTCAGGTTTCATTCATCTCTTCTTATTTATCTTTCTTTATCAATATTTCAGTCATTTTTCCTTCAGGTATATAATTCAATGTGGTGCTCTAATAAGTCATTTTTGCTCTTGAGCTTTTTATTCCATTCTGCTAACGATGAATTTTTTTCTTTTAAATTATCTCTTTTGTTTTAGTGATTTGCACTGGTTTCACTAAAAATATCATTTTGTGTTAAGTTACTAGATACAAGTCCGTTACTAAGTCTGTTTCTATTAGTTCTCATTTGTTGGTTTTCTTTTCTATAATGTTTTTTCTTTCATGAAATAACACTAGGTCCTTTTGGCAATTTTTAAGTTCATTTACTAGTTTGCCTACAATATTTTTTTTTTTCTTATTCAACTTAATATGTTTTGCAAGTTTGAAAGTTAACTTATGTTAACTATCGCATACCACAAATATTCAATCAACTCCTTCTTATTTTTTTTGCACATCTAAAATAATAAATAGCACTTTACATGATGCATACACAAACATCCAACTTTAGATTAGTTTCTCTACAGCATGTAGAAGAAGCAGGAGCAGATAGAGAGCCTAGTTTTACATGAACCACCATCTTATGAATTATACAATTAACTATTTTGTATTTCTTGATAGTTCTCAATTTTACTATCGCACATAAAAAAGACAGGACTTAGGAAAATTTTTTTTTTAATTATAATTTTTAAAAGTTTGTTGTACAATTTTTAACATTAATATAATGTAACGTACGATAATATCGGTGAGACTCTACACTCCTTCTCCTCAAACCTCACAACGAAGGGTCCTAGGGACAAGGAAAGGGAAGTGCGAGCAAGGAGAGAGTCTATTCGGGGAGTACAAGACGAGATTTTGAAGGGAACACACGCTAGTAGGTACAAGGTAGTCCTTGCCCTATGATTACAGTATCTTGAATAAAGGTCCTTGAAGTAATAAGTGTTGATTATTCTCGCGAAGCACCTCCTTACCAATATCTTCCCTACGTAACAGCTTTGGTGCTAAGTGTGGGGTAAGAGTCAGAATTTTTTTTTTACTTTTATTTTACGCGTTTTAAAAATTCCGCCAAGAAGCATACATAGTGCAGTGCCATGAAAAAAAACAATTTGAAACCAAGAAGCCGAGGATCTAACCAGAGGCAAGAGGACCAGTTTAGAAGCAGCGGTTAGAGTAGCCTAGAAGCCAACAGGACTAGGGTACCAATCGCCGATAATCACAAAATCAAGGGGATAAAAGACGAGGAAAATGGTCTCCAAAACCTTATTTCTATCGATGCGCATATCGACGTGCATGTGAGTACATTTGTAGTAAAATTAATTTTATACCTTACTCCCGAGGCACTTATTAGGTTGGGAATTTTTTTTTTTAATTTTGGTACATATTTATTATTTTGCCTGTTACCCTTTTTTAGTGGTTTTTCTACTGAATCTCGAAACGAAAATAGCGTGAGATAACAGACTTAAACAAGCAGCGGACTAGGGAAACTTGGGCATAACGAACGTAAAACAGAAGGATTTTATTTGTAGGTTTCGTACACAGACACAGGAAACGTCTGGAAATATGTACTCGCACCCATATCAGCTGACGTATTTGTCACTTTTCTTATAAATATCATTTTTTTTAACAAAGGCAAACGATAGACACCCCCAAAAATATATTTCTTTCAACTTACCATCATAAAAATAAATCGCAAAATTAAAGAAAGCAAGTGTAAGACGAACACCGCCCTTTTACTTTCTCGTCCCACCCCTTGTTATTCTGTCGTCCAATTATTATTAAGCCAGGACACAAGTAATTAAACGCAGGAAAATCGCGAGGAGATTAAATAATCTCTGTTAGAATCAAAGAGAAGCAAAAAAAAGTAAGAGGAAAAATGATTTATCTCAGCGACATTATCCATGAATCAGAAAGCGACAACGAAGGCCTAAGTAATATAATAACCGACATGTGCAGACCAGGGCCCAGTAGAAAACAGCAAAAAGAAAACATGAAGGAACAGACGTTGGAATTAGAGCTGGAACCAGAGGGGTGTGAGAAGCTTGACGCTCTAGACGAGAAAACCAAGGCGATAGTAATGAGCCTGTTTTCAAAGATGAAGGCAAAGTTAAAGAAAGCGGAGGAAACGGATGCACAACACAGAACGGTCACAAAGACTATCCGAAGTTTATCACCGGGAAAGATAAATCCCAAAGGTATATTTCGCGACACAGAAACAAACACGGGACTTGTGAACAGAGGGGCTGGTCTTCTTTTGGGCGAACGAGTCATCGAGCAAAGCGTGAGAAGAACCGAGGAAATATGCGAAGCTCGAGCAGACAGAATGAATACGCAGGAGACATAATGGGGCATGCCAGAGAGACAAGGGTGGCCGAATTTTACTGCAAATTGCTTTGAATATAAAGAGCCTGGGAATCCTGGGATGAGAGACTTGCACAATCAACAGCTACTGGACAATATAAAAAATATGAGCGATGAACTGGAAAGGAGGAAGGAAGTCGCGTTTACAACAGCGATACCACAACCAAATAGTAACTATACAAACTGAGTCGATTATGAGGCAAATAGGGATAGAATATGGGGTGGCACAGATCACACTAGACCCCAATTCACGGACTACACACAAGCGACGAACAGCTATAATCACCCACGCAGACCACAGAATGCGCAGCATAACATGCTGCCATCGCTCAGTCATATGGCAAGCAACATCCCGTTTTTTGATGGTGATCCAATCAATCTGCCACTATTCTATAAGGATGGTGAGGATGACCACGCAAATGGTGGGTCCAGAGAACAAACTATTTTTCCTCGGCACGCTTGCGAGCAGACTGAAAGGAAAAGCGGCCGAATATTTGGCGCCCAGACTGGCTCAATTTGCAGACTGGGACAGTCCAGGAATTTCTTCACGAACTGTCAAGGAGATACGGCAGCATCAAGAACGCGGACACACTGATGGCACAGCTGAAAATAATCAGGCAGCAAAGCCGAAAATCAATAGAGGACTACAGCGGAAGAGGACAACGACTGTACAATAGGCTAACGATGCTGCATGACTCGAATCCGAGCCTGTTTCCAATTCAAAAGCAGGTTCTAAAAGAAAGCTCAGAAGATAAGGCAGTCAAGCAATTCACATACAGCTTGCATCCAACGTACAGATGTAAGATCACATGCTTGAACCCGAGGACCTTCTGCGAAGCAATCATAGAGGCGCTGAAAATGGAGAGCGATTTTAGTTTGCGGCATGCAATACCGGTGAGTGCACTGCCTACATATAATACGACAACCGAGATGGGACCCCTAGTAAATCTAGCAAGCAAGGAAGAAAAAAGAATGGAGATCACTAAAGGGGCACAAGGGGCAACAGCAAGTGAAAAACGCTGTATATACTGCAAGGGCCAAACCGGACACTCAGTCAAGGAATGCCGAAGATTGATGGCTTTGATAAATGACAGGAAAACGTCGAGAGATAATGGGAGGGAACCAAAAGAAAACTCCAACTATTGTCAGAGATCGGGACATAATGTGATAGACTGCCACTCACGTAAGCAAGACAGAGAGGAAGAGGAGAAACAGCGAAATGAAGGGTATAATATATAACCAATTCGTAGAACATATGAATATTAACAGAAACGCCTATTACCACGGGAACGGAAATGACAATTTGCACAACAATAATTACAATAATTACAACAGGGGCTATAACAATGGCCCTTCGGAGCCGTACTACAGAAATGATAACAACTACAACAGAAACAACAATTACAATACTGGAAATAACGGAAGCAACAATGACAACACTGGAAATAACGAAAACGGCAATTACAACAATAGAAATATCAATTATTATGATAGGAATAATTACAATAACAGGTACAATAACTATAATCCCAGGGGCAGTAATTATTACTCCAACCGTGGCTACGGTGACCCTTATAATAACAACAACGGAGAAGCATTCAACCGTTATAGAAACAACATTGAAGGGACCCACCGCAGCAAAGAAGCGGCGAATACGGCCCTGACAATACGAGAGACGCACCCGTATCTTTAAACGTGCAAGATGTTCAGCGTGCTTCTCAAACGTTGAACATAAATTAGATAAAGAAACGGTGAGAAGCGTGTTTGGCAAAAGAGAAGGTGCGAGAGAGAGGCCGCAGGAGATGAAGCAAAAAATAGTGGAGGCAGAAATGCGCATCATTAGTCTGAGTACTTACGCAGAGTGAGGAAGTATAGGATGCAACACTGCAGAATACGAAGACACTCCTACACAACAGGGGGGCAGACGCACGAGGAAAGGCAGGAGAGCCTGCAGAAAGAGTAATCGGATAAAGGCGCCGGGCACATATATAGAGAATGACGAACCCAAGCTTTCAGAGTGTAACAAGGAAACAGAGCAACTTCCTGAAATGATTATGAAACTTCCAAGAACAGGGCATATGCCACCATCGGTTAAATTACAAGGACCACAGCTAAAAAACGGAAAGGCAACTTCTTATGCGGATACTGGTGCAGAGATTTCTATTATAAAGGTTGATTTTTTAAGCACTGATACGCTAATAGACAGTAGGTATCGAGTAGCTATTATTGGCGTGACTCACGGAGCACGCAAAAAATTGGGCACAGTACAGGCTCAGTTACAAGGGCTGAAGTGCACGTTACATGTTGTCCCCCATGACTTCCCTGTCGACGCGGAAGGAATCATAGGGTGAGATACGTTTAAAATATATCGGGGCCAGATAAGCGCCGTCGAGAATATGATTAAATTAGAAGATGTAGAGATACCACTGTTAAAGCCGTAGTGTTTTACAATTCCTGCAAGATCGAAACAAATTATTCATGCGCGAGTAAAAAATAGTAGAAATGAAGCAGAATATTGCTGGATACCCCTCCAAGAGATAAAGGAGGGAATATTATTTGGGAGCTTTATAGCGAGTAATATTAACGGGAAAATAGTTGCAGAATGTACTAAAATGAGTGACGAGATAAAATGTGTGCCTGTTTGGGAAGTAGAGCTGCTAGATTACGGAGAAATTTATCGGAAGCACTCAAACTTTGAAGAGGACAATGTTGAAAGTTTAGGGGAAGCAGTGAGGATGTTATGTTATTTGACTAAGAGGAGCTAGGGAAACAGGAACGGGTGGACAGAATAATGCAACTCGTAGACACAGCCGATTGCAACGATGAAAAAATAGAGCATGTAAGAAGACTGATCAAGTCAAACCCTTACGTATTTGGCCTTGACAGAGAACCTCTGAAAGCAACGCATTTTGTCAAACACCGAATAAAGACGACGACAGATAAACCAATAGTTGCAAAGAGGTACAGATACCCACCGTCAATTAGAGACCAATTGAAGACATAACTAGAGAAAATGTTAGAGCAGGGGATAGTGGAACCATCTACCTCCCCATACAGCTCAAACACTTGGATAGTAGCAAAACAACCGGGGCCAAACAACGAAAAAAGAGTAAGGGTCGTCACAGATCTTTATCTGCTTAACGAAGTCACGGTGGATTTGTGCTATCCATCACCATTTCAAAGTGATATTTTTTAAAACCTGGCATCTGCGTGCTACATTACAGTAGTCGATCTCAAATCAGAATTTTTTCAAAATGAAGTACACGAAGACGACGCTCACAAAACGGCATTTTTGGGGCCAGACGGGCATTACTAATACAAAAGAATGCCCATGGGGTGTAAAGACTCATGAGGTCGAAGTGTATCTTGATGACATAATGGTTTTTGCAACCAATCTTAAAGAGCATGGGGAGCGATTGAATAAATTATTGAAATGATTAGCAGACGCAAACTTGACAATCGAACCTAAGAAGTGCCAATTTTTTAAAAGGGAAGCAAAGGTGTTGGGCCATATTGTAGGTAATGGACAAATAAAGACCGATCCTAAGAAGATCAAAGCAGTCAAAAAATACCCATGTCCGACAAACGCAAAAAAGGTAAAACAATTTTTAGAGTTTTCCAGACATAATAGGTGATTCATAAAAGGCTATCCGAAGATCGCCTGACCCCTATCTATGCTGTTAAAGAAGGGCAAAAAATTCACGTGGAGTGACAACGAAGAAAACGCATTCAAAACTCTTATCGAAGTACTATTTAGCGGACCAGTGCTCGTTGCCCCAAAACCCTTGGAAAAACCCTTTATCGTCACGACAGACGCGTCAGATTCCGCGATTGAAGCGATCCTTAGTCAGGGAGAGATCGGAAAAGATAGACCGTGTGAGTATGCATTTCGCTGCCTTAAAGGGAGTGAACTTCGCTACCCAATATACGACAAAGAGTTATTGGCGATCGTATTTGCAAAGAAGCAATTCAGAACATATTTATACGGGCGCAAATTCACGGTAATTACAGACCAAAAGCTGCTGAAGCACTTTCACTCATCTAGAAAACCAGATATTCGTTTTAACAGGCTTAAAACGGAACTGAGAGGGTATGATTTCGAAGTCATGTACCACCTGGGCGTAAACAATGGACCACCAGACGCATTATCGTGAAACCCAATACTAAAAAAGGGGGTAGTGAATCCCGAACGGCCACGCCAAGAGCTATACCAGCTAGAAGATGAACAAGAGAATGAAGAACTGGCCGATAGTGACAGACCACCGGCATGCATATTTAAAGTACGGACAACTCGTAAAAAAAGAATTCAAGGCAACCCGAAGAAAATAAAAATCCATAGCACTGACTCAGTAAACTCGAACGGTATAACACGAAAAAGAACACGATATCGTGGCGAGGATAGCGGAAAAGGTTTAGATATGAGTACAAAAGGTCAAGAAAATAGTGATGCGGAGTCTGAATCAAAAGAGCCCAACGAAAACAATTCGCTACTGCAGCAAGTACTAAGGAATCAAAACGAGGGAAAAGTACGAGAGATTGCAGAAGAACGAAAATTAATTTCGCAGGAGACAGCAGACGGAAAATTGGGCTTCATCAAGAAAGAGACAGGCTTTCAAAAGTAAATAACTGCTACAAGTGCGCCAGCAATACTAGCACAAATAGAAAAATTACGAAAGGCAAGCAAACGACAACTTGACATTTTACATAGACAGAAACCACGCTTTTTAACTATACAACTGACGATGAATCCGTCGAAAGAAATAATAATAGCTAATTGTGACACACCATAACATGACGTTACTAGCAAAAATCAGGAAGCAATTACAGAGGAACAGGAAACTACTACAGAAGGACAGGAAGAAAACATAGAACAATAGAAGAAACTTGCAATAAACGAACAAGAAGAGCCGAACACGGACATACAATACCACGGACCATCAGAGTACGGGATACTCACCACACGAATTAGTTTTCGGACAAGGAGCTAAAACACGATCTAGTATCAGACTGCCATCTAAGGGCCAAACTTCGGATGAATATTTTGAAGAGTTAGTTAAGACCCTGACAGAAATGAGAACTATCGCAGCAATGAACCAAGTTCAGGCGAAATAACGATCAAAGTATTACTATGACCGCCAACTAAATACAAGATATTTCTTAGAGGGAGAAATGGTTTATGAGCTGAAAGAGCCATAACAGGGGAAATATGATTCGCAATACGAGGGCCCATATAAAATAACAGGCATTGATTACACCAACAAAAATGTAAAACTAGAAAGGTGACGAGATAAGAGTATCCCACGTAGATAAGATCAAAAAAACATGTATGGTAAAGGCACCACTAGAGAATGCTAACAGTGTGAAGCGCACGAAAGAACCTCCTTAAACATCTGATTGTACGTGAAATTTTCGTGGCCCCCAGACGCAGCATGAAAATATGACAAGAAGAGAGTGATTACTTAGGTTTACGATAAAACTTTTTTTTGCGGCCCCGGACGCGCTGCGAACTAGATATTCACATACGTTAGACTTAAAGGACCCCGCACAAACCCTTGGGATATTCTCTCTCAGTTAAATTGGCTGAAAATTGTATTGATTACAGATTAAGTTATCCTGAATAAGATGCAACTATTTTTTTCCAAACAAATGGCTAGTTTTATAAAAAAAAATTGTTGAAGATGGCGATTTGTCATAAGGTTAGTTTGATAGGCAGCATGAACCATTACAACCTAATAATGTATTCATACACATATATTTGTATATTTATTGTTTTTGACTCTTGATCGCCATTTGCACCTGCTGGAGAAGTGCGCGTGATAAATGCTTAATGAAGCAAGAGTTGACGGAGGGGTTAGGCCAAGAGAGGAGTGAATAATCCCATAGCCTTAACGATGTAGTTTAAACGGTCGGATAGGCATAATCAACTGTGCAATAGACGTTTATTATGTATGCGCTCATTTTCAATTGAATATGCTTGTTAAAACCATTTATAATATCTTACAATTTCTCACTGTCTTCTTCATCATGAGAACTCTATTATTATTTTTTTCAAATTTAACTGTGATATGCAATACAATTATTCTTACATGTAATATTTTTTCTATTTCATTTAAGGCACTTATAAAGTTCCTTTCTGTTTTTGCTCTTTTACCGTAGTCTAAAGGTCTAATACAAGCCCAGAACATATTTTTTATTTAATAAGAGTCGCCGAGTACTAAGTGCCCATTTTATTGTTCTTAATGGCTTCAAAAATATATTATTAATAATCACCTTCTCTGATAAGTTTCTATATATTACTCTTAAATAGTTATTATAGTAAGTACACTATACTTTCACTTTGTATTATTAGATGAACCTGCACCCCCTCCCACTCCCAACCTCGTAGCTGTCTCTGATGAGAAGCCGTCACCACTGATCTGACCTATTTATCAACAATTGCAGTGTCATAAGCGATCGTGCTCTTTCTCTTACCTGGGTGGCCGTTACTACAATCCCGCTCTAATACTGTTCACCGTTGGTCCGATCCAAGCCCTAAACTTAGCAGCAGTTGATGTCCTTGAGTTGCAATCTTTCCTATTGAATACTCCGATAAGTTCAATAAATCATTAATGTATAAATAATCGTAATAGTAACGCGTTGCTTTGTTTCAATATTTTTATTAGATACACATGTACCAACTCCTATTCCTTGCCT